GGCAAACAACAGCTGCTCCCTTGAAAATGGGTCCCATTGTCAAAAATAACAGACTAGAAACCGAACAAAACAATTAAACGGGCTATAAAGAGAAGAGTAATTAGACAAAATGAACATGGAGTGTGAATGACAAGCAAGGAGAAGCCTAGGCTTGTCCAGCTTGTCGGCTATCTCTGGGCCGGTAGCACCCCTAGAGGCGGGCCTGCCACAAATCTGATGGTTCTCCGGAGCACACAAGGACTTCAATAGAAAGACAAGCTAAATAAATCCAAATAGGTGGCTCCCCTTTACAAAACGACTGCAGCCGTTTGCCTCCTCGCACTCTGCGGGCTTCAAACGGAGACGAGCACTCCAACATGCAAACTTACGGTACAAGATGTGCACGCTGGTGATTATGCAACCCGCTATACGTTATCATTTTCTTTCTATTTCCCCTCCATGTTGCACGTTCTCAAGCCGTCAACTGCATAGTTGCGAATGAGACCGAGCCTCAACCGCCCGTTGATTGTCTCGTCGTGGATCTCTGTTCGATGCGGATGTCTACTTGAGTGCCAACTTGGCCCGTAATGGAAAAATCCCTGTTCGCATCAGTGTAGTCACAGAGGATGACATCCTTGTCGATTCCTTAAGGTCGTCCGTAAAGGCCGCAACAGGAGAGAATGCAGGGGCTCGGGAGGGATTCATAACATCCGATATTGTGCGTACAACAAGGACAAAAGCGGGGGATTTGCACTGAAGCTACGGGCACTAATACTGTGCCAACGGCAGCTCGAAGCCACTCAGTGAAACCCGACAGAAACTGGGGAGCAATTCAGCTGATTGTCTGAGACGGACTGATACAAGGGCTTGCTCTTATCTGTTAATTTGGGTATACAGAAGGAGACATTTCCTCACACTTTCGAGTACACCGAGTATGCTGGTACCACTCCTAACTACCGTTAGGCGGTTGAGGCAGGGTTGGCAGCCTTCGAGTAAGGAAATGTCGTAGTCAGCCTCACTACAGAAAAGTCCCATAGCTCTTCTCTGTATATCGAAACGCGATGATGATACACACCAGACAGCTAACCAGCCTCGCCGACTTCTCTCCAGCCAACACATCACTTTTGCTTATGCTGTGTTATGTTAACTCTTCTTCCAGCAAAAAACATACCATCAGAAAGAAACCGAGTGGCAAACAATATGGAACAAAGCCGACAGTTCCAATTTGGCATATCTTCTCGGATCTGAGGAGCACTAGAACCGGCTGCGTTATTGGAAGGTGTGTCGCAGTAACAACTGGGACTGATCCGCAACCAGATCGAACAGACAGGAGCGATCCACAAGGGCCAACTGAAACTGTAACAAATGAGGCTGTGCTTTTCTGTAAATTAAGCCCTGCAACGACGAAGGATGCAGCCCCCTTTAAGTAAGTTTTGGGTTTCGGAGCGCAGCCCCCAGGAAGGGTTGGCAAATTTGTCTAGAAGCAATAACCAACAAAGCTGGTGATGTGCTTTTTGACGCTGTGCGTGTGTCCGCTTCATTTTCTTTCCTGCAGTGAGGAGTAGTTCAACGGACTTCTTGCACGAACAACTGCATTGAAAGATATGACAGCAGACGACCTGCAGACTCCTGTTGGAGATGGCGCTGAAGTAGCTGCCGTCCCCACCATTCTAATTGCAGGTTTGGTTGCTATGCTGACAGTCGCCCCTGCCTAGAAAGGCAAACTTCCGTTAGCTGCCTAGATAGCCACCCCCTTTCCTCGCCAACTAGTCTGCAGAGCACTGTTTGTCCACCACGCCATGCTTGTTAGCTTCAGGCTGTGAAGCTTGAAGAAAGAGCACTAGACTGTGCAAAACAATTAAGCTGATTATTTAAAAAACTAATAAAACAAAATGAGCATGAAGGGTGAAGATTAAGAAGGAAGGGGAGATCTGGTGCGGACCGGTTGGTCCCCGAGGCTGGGCACGCAGCCCGCGGGCGGTGAGGTCGCCACAAACTCGGTGGATTTTCAATTCAATTCGGGTTTACACACAACCC